TTCATGTTGTTCAGAGATGATTCTATATTCAACAATAAAACCAAGAGAAGTAAAAAACCCTTCATGTTGTTCAAAGATAATTCTACATTCAACAATAAAACCAAGAGAAGTAAAAACCTTCATGTTGTTCAGAGATGATTCTATATTCAACAATAAAACCAAGAGAAGTAAAAAACATTCATGTTTTCCACAGATGACTTCGTATTGAACAGTAAAACTGAGAGAGTGACATAAATGTTATGTAAAGTGGCTTCCATCTTCAACAATAAAACTAAGAGAATTAAAGAACATCATTCAACAATAAAACCAAGAGAAGTAAAAAAAAACCTTCATTAGGTTCAGAGATGATGCTATATTCAGTAATAAAACCAAGAGAAGTAAAAACATCTTCATGTTGTTCAGAGATGATTCTATATTCAACAATAAAACCAAGAGAAGTAAAAAACATTCATGTTTTCCACAGATGACTTCGTATTGAACAGTAAAACTGAGAGAGTGACATAAATGTTATGTAAAGTGGCTTCGATCTTCAACAATAAAACTAATAGAATTAAATAACATTATTCATCAATAAAACCAAGAGAAGTAACCAAACTTCATGTTGTTCAGAGATGATTCCATCTTCAACAATAAAACCAAGAGAAGTAAAAAAACCTTCATTAGGTTCAGAAATGATGCTATATTCAGTAATAAAACCAAGAGAAGTAAAAACATCTTCATGTTGTTCAGAGATGATTCTATATTCAATAATAAACCAAAAGACGTAAGAACCTTAATGCTGTTCAGAGATGATTTTATATTCTATAGTAAAACATTGTTGAATATAGAATCATCTGAACAACATGAAGTTTTTTTTACTTCTCTTGGTTTTACTATTGAATATAAAATCATCTCTGAACAACATGAAGTTTGGTTACTTCTCTTGGTTTTATTGATGAATAATGTTTTTTAATTCTCTTAGTTTTGTTGTTGAAGATGGAAGCCACTTTACATAACATTTATGTCACTTCTCTTAGTTTTACTGTTCAATACGAAGTCATCTGTGGAAAACATGAATATTTTTTTACTTCTCTTGGTTTTATTGTTGAATATAGAGTCATCTCTGAACAACAGGAAGGTTTTTTACTTCTCTTGGTTTTATTGTTAAATATAAGATCATCTCTGAACAACACAAAAGTTTTTTTTACTTCTCTTGGTTTGATTGTTGAATAATGTTCTTTAATTCTATTAGTTTTATTGTTCAAGACGGAAGCCACGTTACATAACATTTATGTTAGTTCTCTCAGTTTTACTGTTCAATACGAAGTCATCTGTGAAAAAACATGAATTTTGTTGAATATAGAATCATCTCTGAACAAAATGAAAGTTTTTACTTCTCTTGGTTTCATTGTTAAATATAGAATCATTTCTGAACAACATGAAGTTTTTTTTACTTCTCTTGTTTTTATTGTTGAATATAGAATCATTTCTGAACAACATGAAGGTTTTACTTCTCTTAAAAAACCAAGAGAAGTAAAAAACCTTCATGTTGTTCAAAGATTATTCTATATTCAACAATAAAACCAAGAGAAGTAAAAAACCTTTATGTTGTTCAAAGATTATTCTATATTCAACAATAAAACCAAGAGAAGTAAAAAACCCTTCATGTTGTTCAAAGATAATTCTACATTCAACAATAAAACCAAGAGAAGTAAAAAACCCTTCATGTTGTTCAAAGATAATTCTACATTCAACAATAAAAC